TATCTTTTGGGTTTAATCTTGCGTATTGCAATAAAATTGTAAATATAAATGTTTTTTTTTTGTTAAATAATATTATTTAATATTTGGATAATTTTAATTTTTATTATTAGGTTGGAAAATTTTTTGGAAAATTTTTGGAATTTTATTTATTTTTTGAAATTTTTTTATTTATTTTTAACTTTATTATTTTTAAATATTTTTTTGTTTTTTGTAATTAAAAAAATTTTTTTAACACAATAAATTGCTAGTTAGGACATTAAAATGTCTCAAAAAATCCAACAAAAAATATTTTCCTGTCAAAATAAATTTTTCTTTAAACAAAACAATTTACTAACCTTTCACTTCCAATTTATAATTTTCTTATCTTCTTAACTTTTTTTTTATTTTTTAATTGTTTTTACTGCTACATACTTACTTATCTTCACTCAATCACCAAAAATTACTTTATTTTTCTCTCAAAAAATTCCCAAAAATTCTTTCCATTTTTTTCTAAAAATATTTTTAATTAAATAAAAATGAATATTTTTAATATTATCTTTACTGATAATAATTATGACTATAAAAAAGCATATGCGCAACCAGGGAGACTTCAACTTTTATATTATACTTATTTATGGAGAAGAAGAGATAGGTAGTAGATTTATTTTAATTAACATTCCTCACTTAAATTCTGATTTGTAAATTTTGTTTATAAATTCTGATTTAGAAATTCTGATTTATAATTCTGATTTTTAAATTCTAATTTGTAAATTCTGATTTAAAAATTTGTAAATTCTGATTTTTAAATTCAGATTTTTAAATTCTGATTTTTAATTCTGATTTTTAAATTTGATTCAGAAATTCTGATTTTTAATTCTGATTTTTAAATTCGATTCAGAAATTCTGATTTGTAATTCTGATCTAGAAATTCTGGTTTTTAAATTCTGATTTGGAAATTCTGATTTTAATTCTGATTTAGAAATTCTGATTTTTAATTCTGTTTTAATAATTTTGATTTTTAAATTCTGTTTTTTATTTTGATTCATTAATTCTGAATTTGAATTGTAATTTCTTATTTTTCAATTCTGGCTTGAAAAATTCGGAATAAAAATCCACAAACCTCAATTTTAGTTCTTAAATTCTGATATTTAGATTCTAACTTATTTTCTGCATTGTAAACGATGTATTTTTGATTAAATATTAATTCTTTTTTACAATTCTGAATTTTTAAATATTTATTGATAAATTTCAGACTCCCATCTGTTCCTCTTAATATTTTAATAATTTTTAAAAATTATTTTGAAAATTAATTTTTACTTTATTTTATCTTTAACAATCTAACTTCTAAAAATTTATTTTATTTCTCAACTTTATTTCAAAAAATTTTTTTTACCAATTTTCTTTTCACACCTTCTTTCTGACTTTTTCACACATCTCTTTTAAAAAACTACTTTTCAAAACAAATTAATTAAAAAAATAAAACAAATAATAAATAAATAAAGAAGTTATTTATATAACTTTTTTTTTAAATTTGTCGAAATTCAATCTTTTATTAAATTTCCCTTCAAAATTTTTTTCTTTTCTTTTAAATAAAATTTTTCAACTTTTCTTCACCCTTAAATTTATTTAAAATTTAAAAATGAATCGTTATTGTCGGCATCATTCCCCTCGCCCCAAATTGTCCAAAAAACGTCAAAAACAACAAAAATATCCTTTAAAAATCGGAACATTAAATAAAAAATATAAAACAAAATTTAATTCTAATAAAATAAATAAAAAATTAAATTATTTTTTAAATGACAAAAAACATATAGAAGATCGCTCTCGAATATTAGAATTAAAAGATTCACTTGAACAAATTTATTTAGCTTTTATTTGGAACAGAAAATGGTAAAATAATTATTTTCTTAATAAAATATTTTCAAAATTATTGTCAGAATTTTTAATTGACATTTATATATTTAAAAATAATTTTATAATTAAGTCTTATTTCAATATTATTTAAATAAGAAAGAGTTTAGCAAATGTTTAGCCACCGCGCAGGATTCGAACTTCCAGTTATTCCTAGGTTCGCTCACCACATACTTTACTTGCTCTAGGTGAAACATCCTTACAAATATTAAATCCAAACTTAAGTTTAGTACATATCTAATTGATTTTTATCTTATAAATACTTATGATTAGGGATGGGATTTATATGGATTTCCATATTTTTTCCTGGCCTAGTTGGGTCGTGAAACGCACGAAAAACCTAGTTTTAGCATATGTTGATAAGACCGATAATGAGTTATCAATCCATATTTTGAGATTTTTAGTCCATATTATATGTCCATATTTTTCGATTAATAGTCCATATAAATCCCATCCCTACTTATGATTTATATTTATCTTGGTTGCAATTACCAGGATTGTCTAAGTTATGCACCAGGGATGGGCCTGGTGGAGAAATAAGTCGAGTCGAGATTCGGATCGGGTCGAGTTTGATTTGTAATTTATTTTTTTAATTTTCTATTTATTCTGAAACTTAAATTAATTTTCCAAAATTTTGATTTAAAAAATTAATTTCTCTCTAAATTCTAATTTTTAATTTTCCTATACTTTTCTAATAATTTTAAATTATTATTAATTTTAATTGAGAATTTTCTATTAAAATTTTATTTATAAGATTTAATTAAAAATTTATTATAATCTAAAAATACTTTTTAATTAATATATTATCTTACAAATCTTTTTATTTCCATTATAAACCAAAACAAAACAAAAAATAGTACATAAATATATATGTAAATACCCCGCAGGCTGTTTTTGGTACTTTTAACGGCTCATAGCTTTAAAGTTAAACAAAAAAACAAGCAAAAAAGTGTTATTTTTTACTTAATCCTTTGCTTTTATTTATTTTTTTATTTTATTTTTAGTTACTAATTTTAAATATTTTATAGTAAAATTAATTATTGCTCTATAAAATTAGAACAATAATTAATATCCAAGGCTATAATTCGTGTTTATTTTTGAAGTAAAGTAAATACAAATTGGCCTTTATACTTAATAAATTGTAAATGTATTTATACACTCTGTAACAAAATGATAGCGCCACCTATTTTTTATCGATATCCTACCAAATATTAAATGGATCTGTTTCAAATTTTGGTAGAATATAGATAAGGATATTATGTATCAATAATGGAAAGAAAAAGTTTAATGCAGATTTAAAAAAAATTTTATAATAATAAATTTGATTTTAGAGTGTAACAAAAAGATAGCGCCACTTGTATTTTTGACCTTAGGGGTTGTCCGTTTTTTAGAGAAAAAATTAAATTAATTTGTCGATTCTGGACCGACCCGAACCGAACCGAAAAATCCTCGGTTATCCGAAGAATTTCCAGAAACATACAACCCTAATTCTTACATATTTTTTTCAAATTTTCTTTTTTGTATTCAAACTTAACATTTTCTCGATTGGAGCCTTAATTAAAATTCCAATATAATTTTAAACAAAATTTAATTATAATTTCTTGTCTTTTTTTCACAAAAATTTTTAATATTTTATTTTTTTTATTTGCAAAATGTCTTCCTTTTAAGTATATTTATTAAGTATATAAAAAATATATTTGCAGCATATTTTTCTTTTTTTTTTCTTGCCATCATTGACAGCCTCCTTCCCCCTCACCCACCAACTAACTAACCAAAAACGTCAATGCCCCTGGGCGCTCATAAAGCAGTAGAAAAAGGTTCGATTCCACTCATCCAAGAGCTTTATACAATTTTTTTCTTGCAAAAAAGGCGGCATATAACATTTCTTTTATAGAAAAAATAGAAAAAGAAAGAAAATTTTCTAGTTTTGTTTCATTGTTTGTGTCAATACAAGGGAGAAGATTAATGTTAACGTAGTAGTTGCTAGTTGACTTCACAAACTATCAATTAGTGTTTTTTTCAAAAATTATATTTTTTATTTTTAAATTGACTTCAAAATTTAGATTGTTTTTCGTAATTATTAAATAAAATATGGGTAGTAGGGGTCTTTCAGAATTTTAAAAAGGGAGACACAAAGGGAAGAAATAATAACACTAATAGATAAAGCTATAATTTTCTTGAAAATTCGTGCCGAAATTTCTTTTTTAGATATAGTATTAATTAGAATTAAAAAAAATATATTTTATTCTTAAGACTTAAGAAGAAGGCTTAAGATAATAAGCCATTTTCTAGTTTAAAAAATTTAAAACAAAATTTAGCAGGTTAGGGACTTTTAAATATAGACTTATTACTCTCGTAATTAATTTAATTTTAAATTATTAATTTATAATTTTTAATATTTTCTTATTTCCTAATCTATTTAATTTATTTTCTAAATCCAAATAAATTTAAAAGAAATTTTCCATTAAAAACTCGACAATAAAAATATGCCAAATTAAATATTTTTAAAATAGTAGTTTTTTTATTTTTTCAAAAAAATCTAAGTGAAGCAAAAAAACTAAAGAGAATTGCCACTTAAAAACAAACAAACATAAATATGTATTATTTATTCATTAAAAGATTTTTTTATTTTCAAAAACTTTTAATGTAAAAATATTATTTCCGGAAAAAACCCAAGAAAATTCTTGAGTCAAGATTCAGGACCATAAGTCTTGGAAGTCTTTGTAAAATATGTTAGATATTTAAATTTAACTGTTTAATTGTACAAAATTAATATCTAAATATTAGGTTAATTTATGACCAGTTTAAATTACTAGGGTGGTCAGTAAACTATCTCTATTACGCCAATTTGGAAGTGAAATCCAAAAAATATATAAGAATTAATTTGGCAATTAAGCTTCAATTCAATTAAGCCATTTAATAAATCTATTTTTTTTCAAAAATGTATTATTTCGTGCCAAATACACTCACAAAATATATTTTTATTTAAGCCTATCTAAAGCTTTATTTTTTATATAATTTTATTTTTATATTTTTACTTTTTTTTATTTTCTTCATTTAATGTCTGTTGAATGTTTTTGACAAATAAACTTCTTTTTTGAGTAAATATAATGATGAGTAGGCGCCGTTCGCGTGCCGGCTCTTTAGCGCATTTAAATCCCAGCCCTACAGCTAGCGGCGGATATTCAAATTTAAGAAATTCCTCGACAAAAATGCATCATATAGGAATTGATCAAATTGCAAGGTTTGGAAATTTTGAGAAAATAAATAAATTTAGTAAATTAATTTTTAAAATATATTTTTGTTTGATTTTTATTCTTTAAAGGGCATTTATTTTTAAATTTATATTTTTTGACTTATATTTTAGTAATTTTGTTATGTCTATTAATAATATTAAATAATTTTTTTTATTTTAATAATTTTTAATTTAAAATAAATTTAAAAATAAGAATTTTTATTTTTAAATATTTTTTACTTAAATTTTGGGAAATAAATTTAAATGAATTAAAAAAAATAGTTTTGTCGATTTTTATTTTTATTAAAAATTCTTCGACAAAAATAAATACAAAAAATACATTTAATATTAAATTACATTTTGAAATAATTAAACTAAATAATTATTAATTAAATAATTAAAGGACTAAATTTGTTAACAAAAATTCAATTAAATCTTTTAAATTAATTAAAATTTTTTTATTAAAGTTTCTGAACTTTTTATCAATTTTTTTTATCCAACTTAAGGTTAGCGGCAGAAGAAGCACGAAAAGAACAACAACGACAGGCACAAGAAGGATTTGGTGCTATTGGCAGGAAAGCTGGTGGATTGGGGGGAAAGGAAAAGGTGTTTATTTATTAAGTAAAATCAGAATAAATAAATAATTCTGATTATTTTTTTTATTAAAAAATGAATATTTAGAATGATTTTATTTGATAATTATGTGTATATAAAATACAACAAAATTATTATCAGAATTGTTCTTAATTATCAGAATTATTCATAACAGAATATTCTGTTTTTGTGTTTCGTTTGTATTTTTTAGCAATCAGAATATTTATTTTAACTCAGATCTTAATTATTTAATTAGGGCCCTTCATCATTGTTCATTTTCAGCGAAGAAAATATTATTCGACGCAATGCGTAAATTATAAAAAAAAATTTTTTAATTTTTCTAAATTTTTAAGAAAAGCTATTATTGAATGGGGACCTTTTGAATTTTTTATTCTTGTAAGTTATTAATATTTTTTAAATTTTTACTTTAATTATTTTAATTAATATATAAATATTTTTAAATTTTTGATTGTTTTTTAAAAATTATTTTTAAAGGTTACAATTATTTTGAATTGTGTTGTACTTGCTATGGAGCAGCATTTACCAAAGTAATATAAATACTAGGGCTTTGATTTTGGATTTAACGTAGGAGATGGGGTCCATCGGTAAACCCCGAAACCCGGTTTTTTTCAACATATAAGGTTCAACGCTCAAAAATCATGTCAAGCCTTGAATTGAATTTTGTATAAAATTGAGCCAAAACTAAGATCTGATTTATAAATTAATATCCCTGGTAAAAATTTTTTGATAAATTTATTTGTCTTTTGCTTACGTCCCTTCACCCCTGGTCCGAAAATTAAATAATATTAGCTTGAAAATAAATTATTTTATAGGAACGACAAAAAACCAATGTCAGAAAAATTGGTGTGTTTTTTAATTAATTAATTAATTTTTTAACTAAAAAATTCAAAATTTCTAATCCTTTTTAGGAAAAAACAGAGCCAATATTTATGGCCATATTTTGTATTGAATGTGTATTAAAAGTTATAGCATTTGGGTTTGTTATGCATAAAGGATCTTATCTTAGATCTGGATGGAATATTATGGATTTTATTGTTGTTGTTACTGGGTGGGGATTTTTTTGATTTTTAACTAAAAATTATTTTAAATAATTTCAAATTTAAATAATTTTGAAAAATCAAATTGAATAATAAATCAGAAATATTTTGTATTTTTTTCAAATTTTATTTCTGATTCTATAAAGATATTAACAAAGTACCGTAATTTTTTTTGAGATCTTGTAGATTTTCTCTTGTCCGAGATAATTTTTAAATGATCAGAATATTAATGATTATCTTATTATGATTCTTAAAATAAATTTAAATTACAAATAATATACATATTTCTAAGATAATTCTCTCCCGGGTTCTCTCATGTATTGTATAATTTGAATCCAAAAATTTTATTTAAAAAGATCTCTTAATTTTAATTCATAAAAACTTTTTTACAAATTAAAGAGTCCTCACAATGATGCCTTTCTCTCCATCTGGCGGTGATAAGTCTGAAGGTGTTGATTTACGAACATTAAGAGCTGTTCGAGTATTAAGGCCTTTAAAATTAGTTAGTGGAATTCCTAGTATGTTGTTTACTTTAAATGATTTGGAAATTAAAATTTTAATTAACAAAAGGTTTACAAGTTGTTTTAAAATCAATTTTATGTGCAATGGCACCCCTCCTTCAAATAGGCCTTTTGGTGCTTTTTGCAATTGTTATTTTCGCTATTATTGGATTAGTAAGAGAATAATAATTTTTATTTGATTAAACTACAGTCACACCTCCATATAATAGACACTCAATACTAGATCCTCTCTATTTAAGATACTTTTTAAAAATTTAGTTAGCTGCTTAAGTAGGGTTATTCCCTTTTTGGGGAGGGAGCTTCTGATCGAGGACTGGATGATTTCCAAAAAGTGAAATTACCTAAGTCGAGGACGGGGAACAACTTATAATGAGGTTCGGCAGTATGTAAATTACCTAACAAACAAAAAAATTAAAAATTAATTCTTTAAAGGAATTTTATTCATCTGCCTTCCATGCTGCTTGCTACAATGAATTTGGAGAAATTGTTAATTTAAGTGAAAAACCCTTTCCTTGTTCTAATAAATCTGCCTCTACAGGAGCTTATAATTGTGATGTGGTAAAAGAATTTTGAAAACATCTCTTAAAAAAATTTTTTCCAAGCCTGGTGCTATTTGTTTAAGCCAATGGATTGGCCCAAATTATGGAATTACTTCTTTTGATAACATTGCCTTTGCAATGATTACAGTCTTTCAATGTATTACTATGGAGGGGTGGACAACAATTATGTATTATGTGAATATTATTTAATTTTTTATCTAAATTTATAATAGGAGCCTTTAGACTATTTAAATTTATTTCACAAAAAAGCTTCTTTAATAGTCGTCTCTAATAATTAAATACCCTTGGTACTAATTATTGTTCCGATCTTTCGCTGTAGGGGGAAATTAATAGGGCGGGCGTAATTATATAAGGTAGGGTAATTAATAGAGCATTTATGGTAAATGTCAATGGAAAAATATTTAGAAATGCAGTCTAAGGGCCTTGAACAGTTTTAATAAATTGGAAAATGTAGTTGGATAGTGTTTTCATTGTTTTTTTAAAAGTTTGCTAGAACAACCCACCCCCTTTCTCTTAACATTTTTCTAACATTATCAGTTCTTCAAAAATATTTTTTTAATTATTTTGTTAGACAAATGATTCACTGGGAAGTACTTACAATTGGGCATATTTTATTCCTTTAATTGTTCTCGGTTCTTTTTTTATGCTTAATTTAGTTCTTGGTGTTCTTTCTGGTGAATTTGCTAAAGAAAGGTTTTGAAAAAATATTTTTTGGAAAAAGTTTCTTTAAAGAGAAAGAGTAGAAAATAGAAGAGAATTTTTAAAACTTCGTAGAATGCAACAAATTAATAGAGAATTGGAAGGGTATATTGAATGGATATTTGCGGCTGAAGATGTTATTTTACAGGAAGAAAGGACAACTGATGAAGAAAGGGTTACTATTATGGAAGGTAGAGAATTTTTTTTGGATTTTTATTAGCTGCTGGAATTGCTTATAGATACTTTATGTTGTTTTAGATGTTCCTATTATCCACTAAAAATAATTCATTAGGAGGTTATCAACCCCATATGAAAAGTATATGGTGTGAGATTAGTACTGGATAGGGTTGTCGGTTCTGGACTGAACCGAACCAAAGAACGAGGATTTTTCGGTTCGGTTTCGGATATCCGAAGAATTTCCAAAAACCGACAACTCTAGTGCTCGACATAGTTCTGAGAGCGAGCTTACGCATCATTTTTTTCAATTTTGTATACTAGTATACGTAAAAAATTACCTCAATTTCTAATCATTTTATTCTCCCATTTTGAGTTTGCCGCGATCTAAACTGTAATGGAACAGTTTTTAAAAATTATTTAAAGCTCGTCGCCGTGCCAATAAAATGATACAAAAAGAAGGAGGTATAGGGAAACAAACAAGTGTGGAAACTGAAGAAGAGGAGGAGGAAGAAGATGGGGAAGAGTATGATAATGATCAAGATGATGATTTAGTTGTAGATAATAGACTTGGAAATAATAGATTGGGTGCTGATAATATGTAAGGGGACTAGTAATTTATTAAAGAATAATTCATGAAAAATTAATCCCGAATTAATTCGCCGACGTAATAATAAAATTATTAAAATATTTAAATAATTAAAGACATTGTTACAACTATTAATAAGGCTTCATTGTACGTTATCAGAAAAAATTGAACGTTAATAATATGATTTAATGCAGAGATGGGTCGGGTTCTATCTGAAACTTAATCCAAATTTTTTCTCAACTCGACCCACTTCTAAATTTACAATTTGGGTTCAGCTTAAGAAAAACCTAGATAATTCTGTCAATAAAAAATCCTGTTAATTTATAGTTTTCCTGATTTCTAGGTATCTCAATTCACATACTCTTCCAATTCGAGGACGTATAGATTCTTCTGCTGATGTTGGGTAATTTTTGGAAAACTTAATTTTATTTTTATTAATTTTAAAAAAATAAAGAAAGAAAATGACAGTTTTATTCTTTTCTTCCTCCTTTTGGCATAGAAAAATGCGTCGTATCCGTGTTTGTTTAAGACATGTTGTTAAATCACAAATTTTTTATTGGAGTGTAATTACTCTTGTTTTTTTAAATACTGTTTGTGTTGCGTCTGGTTTGTAATTATTTAATAAAAAATATAAATTATTTAAGCAGTCAGAACACACTTTAATTGGCCGCAGATTCTGTGCTACAGAATCTGTGTTCTGTGCACAAAACAATTAAATAGGCACCAGAACACACCTTAAGGTCACCTTTGGGGATCAACCTTGTACCTTATAATGAGGATACATATATTAAATAGACTGTAGTGGGTAGCCTGAAAATTCCCTACAATAAATAGGGAGTATCACTTAATCAACCCCCCCCTCCCCTCATCAAACGGCGCCCTTAATTAAAGTATTTTAGAACACTATTTTATTATTCGTAAATTCTTTTAAAAAATTATTTTTTATTCTAATTCGCCCTTCATTTTTAATTATTTTTGAGATTAAAAAAATCAAATTTTTAGAACACTATGGCCAACCTGAATGGTTTACTGAATTTTTAAGTATATAATAATTACAAGTTTTAAAAATATTTTTTTTAATTTTCTAGAATATGCAGAATTTACTTTTCTTGCAATTTTCATTAGTGAAATGCTTATTAAAATATTTGCAATGGGTTATAGAACATATTTTACATCAAAGTAATTTTAGATAACTCTCTCTTTTTGTATATTAATCCAAAAATATTTAATTCCGATTTTTGGACTTAAAGTTTAACCAGTGGAATTTAGATAGGGATATCCCTAATCAGTCATATGTATCCCTCCTCGTGTTTAATACAGGGTTCCGATTCGTGCTTTAATTGAAAGTATTCTACTTTGAAAGCGACCTCCATACTTACGAAATTGAATTTATACTTTATTGAAAGTATATACTTTGAAATCAGCATTTTTGATTGAAAATGAAATTGGGGAAGGGATTGGGCAAATAAGTGAATTTTTTTAGCCTTGGGCCTTCGAAATTCTCAAAATTTTCGCCTGCGGCGCAAGAAATGGAAGAAATTTGGCTTAAGGACTTCCAAAATTCTCAAAATTTTCGCCTGCGGCGCAAAAAATAGATTTTTTGGCACCTTCGGCGCCACAAAAGGTGCATTGAAATTGACAAAAATGCTCAGTTGAAACAAGAAATTATTAGAAAAGATTCATTTAGGAGAGAAATATAAAAGATTTGAGGACGAATAAATATTTTCTAATTTAATTTTGAGACTACTTTAAATTTGGAAATTTTCTCCCTATATACTTTTAAATCGAGATTTTTATACTTTTGGTTGGCATTTTGTCGATCGGAACCCTGGTTTAATACGAGTTAAATCAAGTAAAAGTAAGACCGAATTAAAAGTTTAATCCCGGGCAGGCTTCGATCCTGAGACCTCCTGGCAGTTATTGCTAGGGGCTTTCGCTCACCACGTGCAGGTGCCCTACCAACTGAGAGCTACCGGGAACTCTTAATATGTAGATCTTAGACCCATGCATAGTGAGCGTTTTAAATGCTAGCCAGCTGGATCTTTCACTTCCTTACATAAATTAACTAAATTTTTTGAAATGAACAAAAAAAATTTCATTAAGATTTAATCGTTTTGATTGTATTGTTATTGTTGGCTCTGCTATTGAAGTTGTATGGGCAGAAGTGAAAGGAGGATCTTTTGGGTAAATTCAAAAAAAAAATAATTTTCTTATCAATTTCGAATTAAAGTATTTCTGTTCTTCGAGCACTCAGACTTCTTAGAATATTTAAATTAACTTCATATTGGTTAAGGTAAATAAAAAATTTCTCCCAGAAATTTTTCTCAAAAATTTTTTAAGCCTTCGAAATTTGGTTCGATCATTGTTACATTCAATGCGTTCAATTATTTCACTTCTTTTCCTTCTCTTTCTTTTTATTGTTATTTTTGCATTGTTGGGAATGTAAAGATTTAATTAATATAAAAAATTTAAAAAATAATATTTTTAAGGCAATTATTTGGTGGCAAATTCAATTTTCAAGTATCTAACTTAAATTTAATTAAGTTTAATTAATTAAAAATTTTCAGAATTATCATCCTTACACTCATTTTGATACATTTCCTATTGCATTAATTACTGTCTTTCAAGTAATTTTTATAATCAAAAAACCAAACTTGAGTCGACGGACCATCGGGAATTCCCTTATATCTTGATCCACTACTAAGCCAAATCTATAAGATAACACCTAAATCAGTTACTAATTAATTTAAGATACTTCTAAGTTACCATATGGAGGAGAGAAAATGATACCTCCTGTTTAAGTTATACTTCGTTCCTAAGGTTGTCCTAGTAGTGAGTTCGATTAATAAAATCGGGCGAGACATGATCTCGCCTACATTTTCGCTGATCGTTCTAGTGATTCTTCGTTATTTCGCTCTAGATCTTGATCAATCTTCAAATCCTTTCTCTAATAAATTTAAAAACATTTTTTAAACCTTCAGATATTAACTGGCGAAGATTGGAATGAAGTTATGTATTTAGCAATTGAATCTCAAGGGGGTATTTATGGTGGTGGAATGGTTTATTGTATTTATTTTATTGTTCTTGTACTCTTTGGAAATTGTAAAAAATAATTTAAAGAAAAATATTTTGAAAAACAATTTTAGACACATTATTAAATGTTTTCTTGGCTATTGCTGTAGATAACTTGGCTAATGCACAAGAATTAACGGCTGCTGATGAAGTAGGAAATATACCTATATCTCTTTTGTCTCTTGCTAACTTTCATCGAGTAGATTCGCTGATGAGTCGACGATTGATGTCGATGTCCTGATATATCGATATCATAATGAATTTTCGATTCGTGTGAATTTTTGATCGCCAAATTATTTGAATAAAATTTTAGTGAATTCAAGATCCAAGTATTGAAATTAGGAGAACAAAATTTTATAAAGAATACAATTTTTCTTTTAAAAATCCATTTTAAGTAAAATTGAGGACTTACTAAATAGAAGAAAAATTATTATAATAAATTTTGAAAGACAATTTTGGATAGTTTTGAAGAATATAAATTCCATTAAACCAACAATTATTATTTTTAAAATTAGCATTTTTATTATTAAGGCAGATGAAAAGGCTAACGAAATGTACGACGAAGAAGACGAATCCTTAGGTGAAAGAATTAAATTTTTAAATAAAAAATATTTGAAAATTTTATTTTGAAGGTTTCGATGAAAGAGATTTAGAAATAGGTGCTGGGATTGATGTTGAATTAACTAGAGAATTGGATGGTAATCAAATTAATTGGAAAAAAAATAAATTAAATAAAATTAAAGATGAAGAATTTGATGAAGAGGACAGCCCATTTGGCGGTCCAAAACCAATAGTTCCTTATTCTTCAATGTTTATTCTTTCACCTACTAATCCGTTCCGTTGTCTTGTACACAGCGTTGTAGCTACGAAATATTTTGAAATGGTTTTGAAATTTAGCTTAAAAACTTTAGTTTAATTTAGAATAGTAAAAGATTAGCCTGGGACAGGTATGGATCCATGTTACCCCCTGGCAATTTATTGCTATAGGCCTTTTCTTGAAACGTGCTGGTGCTCTAGCGATTGAGACCTGGGGCGCTTCTTTTACCTTTTTTTCTAATATAGTATCTTAAACCCCAGACTAATAAGCGGTCTAAATGCTAACTAGTTGAATCTCCTCTCCTTGCAAAATTTGTATTTTAGGTTGTAATGGTTGTAATTTGTGCTTCGAGTATTTCTCTTGCAGCGGAAGACCCTGTTGATGATGAAAATCCTCGAAATAAAATTTTACAATATTTTGATTATTGTTTTACTGGGGTTTTTGCTTGTGAAATGTTATTAAAGGTGAAATAAAAATATATTTAATAAGTTAAGAAGAAATTTTAATTAATTTTAGTTGATTGATCAAGGAGTTATTTTACACCCAGGTTCCTATTGCCGTGATTTTTGGAATGTTTTGGACGGTGTCGTTGTTGTTTGTGCTCTTATAGGATTTGCATTTTCGTAATAAAATATTTCTTATTTAAATATTTCTTCAATAAAAAAATTTAAAAAATTTAAGTGGAACATCTGGCGCCACTGGGAAAAACTTGAGTACAATAAAATCATTGAGGGTACTTAGAGTGTTGCGCCCACTAAAAACAATTAAAAGAATCCCAAAACTTAAAGCTGTATTCGATTGTGTTGTTAATTCATTAAAGGTTTTAACTTGATGGGAATAATTAAATTTAATCTCTAATTTACTTAGAATGTCTTCAATATTCTTATTGTTTATTTTCTTTTTCAAGTGAGTTTTTGATTTTGTAAATACAATTTTAAATAAACCTGGAATTGTAAATGAAATACAATTTTAAATAAACTTGGAATTGTAAATGAAATACAATTTTAAATAAACTTGGAATTGTAAATGAAATACAATTTTAAATAAACTTGGAATTGTAAATGAAATACAATTTTAAATAAACTTGGAATTGTAAATGAAATACAATTTTAAATAAACTTGGAATTGTAAATGAAATACAATTTTAAATAAACTTGGAATTGTAAATGAAATACAATTTTAAATAATTAAACTTTTTGTGTTTCATTTACAATTACAATTATTTTACAATCCCAGAATTTGTAAAATAAAGAAAAATTATTATTTCAGTTTATTTTTGCTGTCATTGCCGTCCAGTTGTTCAAAGGCCGTTTCTTTTACTGTACTGACCGAACTAAACGATTTGCTTCTGAATGTCATGGCCAATATTTTGTTTATGATTCTGGAGTTTGATTTAAGGAAATTCTATTTTTCTAATTAAAATTTAGAATTATTTTCCACGTGTCGAAACTCGAGAATGGCGTCTAAGACCTTTTAATTATGACAATACACTTAACGCTATGCTGACACTTTTTGTTGTTACGACTAGCGAAGGTGGAGAGATTTCCTGTCCCTTTTTTAATTTAATTTTTTTGTCAAGGTTGGCCAGGCATTCGACAAAATTCTATGGACACCACATTCGAAGATCAAGGCCCCCAACCTTATTATCGTGTTGAAGTAATTATTTAATTAATTTGTAATTTTAAAATTACAATTTTACAAAAGGTTGCACTCTTTTATGTAATGTTTTTCATTGTCTTTCCCTTTTTCTTTGTTAATATTTTTGTTGCCTTGATTATTATAACCTTTCAAGAGCAAGGAGAAGCTGAACTTTCTGAAGGGGATTTGGATAAAAATCAGGCAATTCAGTTGAATTTTAAATTTAGTAATAATTAAATTTAATTTAAGAAGCAATGTATTGACTTTGCCCTTAATGCAAAACCTCGTTCCCTTTTTATGGTAAACAAAAAAATATTTTTTTTTGAAAATTTAGTTAAAAAAATTTATTAAATTTAGCCTGAAGACAAAAATTCTATTAAATATCGAATTTGGCGTTTAGTTACATCCACGCCTTTTGAATATTTTATTATGGCAATGATTGTATTAAATACATTAATTTTAATGATGAAATACCACGGTGTTTTATTTTTATAAGTTTTTAGGAATTTGTAATTACAAATTAAAATTATAATTTGTAATTGTAAACAAAATATAATTATTAATAAACTTGGAAGTGAAATACATTTTAAACAAAGTTGAAATTATTAAAGAAATACATATTACTTTTTTAATAAACTTAAAAATACAACTGAAATACAATTTCTCAATTTTTAATAATTGTAAAACTTGAAAACTTGAGATTGTGAATAAAATACAAATTTAATAATAAACTTGAATTTGTGAATAAAATTTATTTTTAAGGCAATTCTGATACTTACGAGAAAGTTTTGAGTAAGTATATTGTAATTTTTTATTTATTTATAAATTATTAATTTTAAAAATATTAATTTAATTTATTTAAATTAAAAGAATAATTTTAATTAAAAAATAGTTTTTAATTTATCCATAGATTAATTAATAATTTTAAAAATATGAATTTAATTTATTTAATTAAAAGAATAATTTTAATTAAAAAATAGTTTTTAATTTATTTATAAATTAATTAATAATTTTAAAAATATAAATTTATTTAAATTAGAATAATAATTCTGATATTAAAAGAATAATTTATTTTTATTTATTTTTAATTTTATAGGAATATTTAACACAGCATTAACGGCTGTTTTTACCGTCGAATCCATCCTAAAAATTTTGGCTTTTGGCGTTAGAAATTATTTTAAAGATGGATGGAACAGATTTGATTTTATCACTGTTGTTGGGTCTATAACTGATGCGGTCCTTTTTTTTTAAAAATTTTCCTAAGAATTTTTTTTATTTTTCAGTTGGTTACTGAATTTGGGGGCCATTTTGTTTCTTTAGGGTTTTTACGTCTTTTTCGGGCAGCTCGTTTAATTCGCCTTCTTCAACAAGGATATACAATTCGAATACTTTTATGGACTTTTGTTCAATCATTTAAAGTAATTTATTTTGAATTTTAAATTAAAAATTAAATTTACCATATAGGCTTTACCTTATGTTTTTTGTTAATTGGGATGCTTTTCTTTATTTACGCTATTGTTGGAATGCAGGCAAAAAATTATTATAATTTCTAAAATATTCAGAAATTTTTAAAGGTTTTTGGAAACATTCAACTTGACCCAACCACAGAAATTAATAGACACAACAATTTTCAATCTTTCTTTAATGCTGTAATACTTCTTTTTCGGTATCTTAGTTTCAATATTAAAAATCCTTCCGGTATTCAACCATCATTTCTCACCGGGGATTTGTGGAGAGGTTCTAAACCTGAGACCGTCCTGAGGCTAATATGTACCACTACATCCCCCGTCCCCGTGAAGACAAGACTTGGGGTTTTCACATTACATGACCGTAAATGTTGAACCCTAGTCTTTATCTCTTTGATAAATAAAAATGTTTTATAAAAAACAAAAAAAAATTCTTTAAAAAATAAAGTTGCGCAACTGGAGAGGCTTGGCAAGAAATAATGATGAGCTGTAATGGAGGAAAGCAATGCTCAAAGATAACTGTTGCTACAGCTACAACTGCTGCTACATGTGGAAGTCAACCTATAAGTATTGCTTATTTTACTTCCTTTGTGTTCCTTTCTTCTTTTTTGGTGATTTTTAATAAAAAATTATTTCACTTCACTATAAGATGCATTTTTGGGGTTACAAAATTTTATGAAGTGTATCCTGTTTAGAGAGTATACCGTTTAAAGGAAGTACATATAGAATAGTTGGGGAGTATATCTAGTATTCTACCAAAGTTTAAAAAGTTGTTCCTTAAACTCGTAGAATTAATTTTAAAATTTTAAAATTCTTAAACTCGTAAAATTCACTTATAGTGAAATTAGACAAATTAATTTCTGAAAAGATCTAATAGTATAATAAAATTTTTAAAGATGCTAAACTTATTCGTGGCTGTTATTATGGATAATTTTGATTATTTAACGAGGGATAGCTCTATACTTGGACCTCACCATTTAGATGAATTTATACGTGTGTGGGCTGATTTTGATCCTACAGCAACGTAAATTGAAGAAATTTTTAGAGAATAATTTTATTAAATTTTTAGTGGTCGTATTCATTATTCCGATATGTATGAAATGGTAATTTAATTTAATTAATTTAATTTATTAGGGTTATTTTTTGGAAGTAGAAAAAGATTATTTAAATAAGATTCAAAATCAGGGGAGCCAAAAGAACGACGCAAAACACATTGCGATCCATTGTTCGCACTATCAATTATTCTCTTGTAAAGTTGAGACTCAAATAGACTTTAATGACATTTACCTAAATTCTACTGTATTAAAGTGAGAGAAGAGTAACTTACTCTGTGATCTCTAACTTCTTGTTTTTATTCTTAAGAATATATTTAATTATATACTATGTATTTATTTTTTAGCTTCGTAATATAGCTCCTCCTGTCGGCTTCGGAAGAAAATGTCCCTATCGTCTAGCCTACAAACATCTTATTCGAATGAATATGTACTCTCTTAAAATTATTTTAATTAAAAAATTATATTTTTTAATTTAAAAAGGCCTGTTGCCGATGACGGAACAGTTCATTTTACAACAACATTGTTTGCCTTAATTAGGGAATCTTTAAGTATTAAAATGAGACCTGGTGATTTTTTAAAATTAATTTAAAAAAATATTTTTTAGTCGAGGAAATGGATGAGGCTGACGAAGAATTACGTCAAACTCTTCGCAAAATTTGGCCTCTAAAATCAAAGAAAAATATGATTGACCTTGTTGTGCCTCCAAATGGAGGTAAATGTTCCCTTTAATCTCTCTTTATTCTGATTTTTGATGATGAAATAATGTCCCTCTCTCAAATAATTACCCCCACTCTATTAAATACCCCTTACAGCCCGAGATCGAAAAAATTACCCTGGGTAATTATTTCAGCAAATACGGTATACATACTTGTACTTATTTTCACTTCATAATTCTTATTCTGATTTTATTCTTTTTCCAAATTTCGAATAATTTAAATTCTGAATCTGATTTTTTTCTATTTCTCTTATTCAGATTTATGCTTTCAAAAGCTTACTGTTGGTAAAATATATGCTGGACTTTTAATTCTTGAAAATTGGAGGGCACGTAAATCTGGGGTTGAGGTAAAATATGTTTAAATGATAAAAAGTTATTTAAAAACTAAAAAGGAATTTTTGTTTAAAAATCTATTTTTGATTAGTTTGAAATGATTAAACGTCGATATGCAGCAACTATGCTGTTGAGACCTGCTCGAGAAATAACCACAAAATTTGGGAACCTTTTGGGAGAGGTTTTTATTTAACTACTCGAATTATTCGAGTAGTTAATTGTAGTCCATTTTTTTCATTCATTGTTTTTTGTTAATTCCCTTTCGGTCTTTGTCCAAATTTTTGATATCTCATTCATATTTTAATATTTTAAGTCGGATCTCAATTTAAAATATACTCTTGGAACTGAAAAATCCTATCTTATAAAGAAATCTGAGTATTTTCTCAATCGGTTGGGGTCAGTTGAGCGCGGCCGGTTGAGCCCCGCCAGTTGAGACCGGGCGGTTGAGACCGAAGACAGTTGAGCGCGGGCCGGTTGAGACCGGGCCAGTTGAGCGCGGCCAGTTGAGCGCCCCTTGTTAACTGTCCAGTTGAGCGCGAAGCGGGGAATGTTGTTCCAAAGACGGGGGATGTTGTTCAAATAACTTGGGAAGTTGTTCCAAATTACGAAGGATGTTGTTCCAAGGACGGGGGATGTTGTTCAAATGACTTGGGATGTTGTTCCAAGGACGGTGGATTTTGTTTAAATGACTTGGGATGTTGTTCCAAGGACGGGGGAAGTTTTTTTGTTCCAAGGACGGGGGAAGATTTTCGCCTCCGGCGCTAAAAAAAGTGATTTTTTTGGCCTACGGCCTTCTAAAATTCTCAAAATTTTCGCCTGGGGCGCTGAAAATAAAAATTTTTGGCGCCTTTGGCTCCAAAAATTCGGCGCAGAAGAATTTTTCCCCCTTGCCCCAACCCCCCCTCAAAAAAATCCAGGCTACAGGCCTGGTACCAACAATGGTGGAATCCTGAGTCACGTTGTTCCAATCCTGAGTCACGTTGTTCCGAACATGAGTCAAGTTGTGCAATCCTGAGTCACGTTGTTCCGAACTTTAGTCAAGTTGTTCCGAACATTAGTCAAGTTGTTCCGAACATTAGTCAAGTTGTTCCGAACATTAGTCAAGTTGTTCCGAACATGAATAAACATTTTGCCGGAAGTTTATCAGTGTAAAAATATATTGGCGCTCAACTGGCCAAATAACAAGGGGCGCTCAACCGGCCGCGCTCAACTGGCCCGGTCTCAACCGGCCCGCGCTCAACTGGCCTCGGTCTCAACTGCCCGGTCTCAACTGGCGGGGCTCAACCGGCCGGTCTCAACAGGCCCGTTCCGTTCTCAATTACCACCCTCCGATTATTTCCCATCGCTAGCAAGTGTTTTTTCCTATTCAAATTTTATTTTTGAATTAAATTGAACGGATAATTGACAAGAAAAATAAATGATATAAAACCTAACATAGGCAAACTAACTCTGAAAATTTTATCCTACGCAAGTTGTATCTTTGGATAATGTAAGAGGTCCGATTGTACATAGATATATTTTACTTATATTTCCTTTCATTACATATTTTCCTTTTTTTTAAAATTTTTTCCTTCCATTTTTATCAAAGTTTTATAATAATTCTATGTATTATAGAATTCTAAAAATAAATTTATATTTTCCAGATTGGAGGTGGTGGTCTGTTTGGCGGTGGTTTACGTGGTTTAGTTGCTGCTGCTAAGGTTTTGGGAGAAAACCATAACCTTCATTTCAGTTTTTGTAATTTCAGTCTGCTGCTGGCCAACAACAACAACAACCAGTTAATGACCAAGAGGGGGAACTTGATTCTCCTTCGGTTGAACAATATCATCCAGTTAGATATGGTGGAAGGAAAATATCTCCTCCAGCACAGATCGGGGTGGTTTCCCTATTACTGTTGGAACCCACTTGTACGTCCCCTCTTGAGTAGAAAAATCTGACATTTAAGAAAGATTACCAACAAAATTGGTGACGTACAAGTGTGGAGTCCAACAGTTTTTTTCATTAACATTCTTCATTATATCCTTTACTAATTTAGCGTCCCTACTCAATTTTCTCAACATTGGTTGATACAATACATCGAAATAATAAAACTGGGGAGAATGAAGTAAATTCTCTTGTTTTTACCAAAATTTAAAAAAAATTAGGGGGATGATATAAACACAATTGCTGAAGAAGATACTTCCGAAGCCGCCCATCAATTACCACGTCGAAGAAGGCAAAATGCCTATGACAGCGATTTTCGCACTCAGCAACTTTTACATTCTCGATCGCCCTCTCCCTTTGATGATTCTCAACAACATTCTATTCCAATAATTAGGCATCCAATTTTATATACTCGACAACATGAACTTGGTAATTAACATTCCTGCTCCATATAGGCTAACTAAATTTTAGAGGAGCGTTTTAGACATCATCCAGCAATTGGTCTACAACCTGGGGACCAATACCAGTTTGCTAGTGAATATGACAGGAAACATAGAAGTCGAAGTAGCAGCTATGCTGATACACAAAATGAGGCAATAAGAACATCACAAAGGCGAAAACTTCCTTCTACGGTAGGAGAGAAATTGAGTGCTTAATAAAAAGAAATTTGGAATATTTTTCAAAAAATTTGTGAAAAATCAAATTAATAAATTATCAAAATTTTATTTAAATATAATTAAAATTTTAATAACAGCAACATTTACGAAACATTCCCCAACCTCAAAACATCGATATTAATGAATACAAAAATGTTCGACAACATTCTCCTGTCCAATCCTCTACCTCCTCGACATGCTCAGAATGTAGACGAGGAAGTATATCTCCATCCACTACCTCTTCAAATTCTTCAGACGCAACTACTTGTTGTTCTTCTTGTGAGAGTTCTGGTACCCTTTCTTCTCGACAAAACCAACTTTCGCCCCCAGCTACAGATGATTATTCACAATCAGAAATCGCTTCTTCCTCTATACAATTAGTAAAAGATCTATTAATAAATAGTTTCCTCATTAATTTTATAGCCAACAGTTAGGCGAATTCAATCTCAACAAAATCGACCACAGCCCAGAACACATCTAGAAATTAGGAACGAACAAAAGCCACCTGAACAGCAGCAACAACAACAGCGTTTTTCGCAAAGAAAATTGCCTGTTATAAGACATGGTCTCTCCATAATTTATTTATTTATTTCAATTCCCTTTATTTCCTTAACAGGATCACCCTCAATAAGTAGCCAATCATCTTCTTTAGTTTATCAACAACCAAAAATTTCAGTTCCAAATATAAATAGATATAAACAACCTGTTGCAGCCTATTACTTGGCTCAGCAGGAACAATCACAACAAAGACAACCTGCTGAATTTACAAATTATTATAACCGTACGGGATTTAGTAACTCGTCGCCGAGAGGTACTAGAAACTAATAGATAATAAAGGATATGGCTAGGACAGATAGTTGGAATTGAAAATTAAAAAAATCTTTACTCTAATTTGAAGGGAAATCTGAAAATTCTGTTAAAATCCTTCCCAGTATTTTCTATTTCTACAATTTTTTGATAAAAATTGAAAGAATATGAATATCAGACCTCTATTGTAAATAACTATACCGCAAATTTGGCCGGAACCGAAGCTTCCGGCATAACACTAGTCTTGAGGTTGGTCTGTTAATATAGAGGTTTAACTGTAGTCCTATTTCAACCAAGTTTTTTTTTATTTAGGGATCAAATTTAAAACTTTTTTATCCTATTTCCAACTTATACCTACTACATATTTACTAATTCCCTCCTAAAATTTCTCTACAAACATTTATTAAGGTCCTCTCGGTCGTTGGGCAATTCAACGTGCAGCAACTATTGCAAGCACCTCAGCTGCTCCAGCAGCTACTTCTTCAGCAACACTTCCTCGACGTTACAATAATCAACAACAACAACAATCTCAACATCAACAAAAATATTCCCAACAATATACTCCCTCATATAATAATCAGAATCGTCGAGTTTCTGGTTCAGCTTCATCTTCAGCTTTGGATAGTGTCGATGTAGACAATCCCCAAACTCCAACTAATCGTTTATTACCACAACAAAAACAACAACAACAATCTTCTTCAAATAACCCAAAAACTACTAATTCTAGTTCTATTTCCCCCGGTGATATTGTAATATGGGCAAGGCCGGGTAATGTCCCTTTGAGTGATTCTGAGGAAGAACCTCCTATTTAACGAATAAAAAAACGGTGCAGAAGTAAAAATATATTAAAATTGTTTTGCTCAATCAAATCGCTATGTCAAGCCTCATTATCATTATAAGACACTAAACATTACTATTACAAACATGATTTTTTCAGCTTCAAATGATTATCTTATAATGAGCCCAATATAGTTTTTTTAATCCTGTTTTAGATTCTCAATGTTAAATTTTTTTTGGAAATATTTCTAAACGACTTTTAATTTTATAAATAATTAGAATTCCGCTAATAAAACTTGTTGTGCCCGCACATGCAGAGAATATAAATGAAAATAAATATTGTTGGATTGGATGGTGGCACAGTCGTTTTGCTTCGGTTCGGGCCCTTTCCGTGATGGTTCAATTCCATCTCCCATCCAATGAATTTTTCCACAGCATGCATGAAGTCGTATACAATAAAACTCTCTAATAACATGAAATTTCCATTTATCGTTGGCCTAATCAGATCCCGATGGTGACTATGTATAAGCGGCATTCCATTATTTTATTTCCAAAATTTAATATTTCCCAATAAATCGCCAAATTTTGTTTATTTTAAACTTTTTTTTGTTTATGATCTCATTTAATGAACAATAAAAGATCTTAATTTTTACGTTAATCTGTCATATTTTTCAAAAAGGTTTTTGCTTTTAACGTTGAAAATGTTTCAAAATTTAATTGCTTAAATTTTTTATATTTTTTTTTGTCCTGTATCCTGTCAGCATAGTCCAAAAAATTTTACTATCATTGCTTCATCGACCGGATCCAGTCAGATTTTTCCGAATTAATCCTGCCCGGTTTTCTCTTGTAAAAATGATTTTAAACTGTCTGAATTTATTCATATTCTGGACTCAGAAATTTTTTCATATTTATCAAAAAAATTTTTTTAGCATTTTTTGCAATAAATTTTTTATTTTTAGAGCCAATATTAGAGACAAATAAACGAAAAAAATCCGTTTATATTCTGTTAGTAATTGCTGAGATTATGTTGAATAATACAAGAGGAATGTTGAAAAATTAAAAGGAAAAAGTTAAAAAATGATAAAATTTTTAAATAAGACATTAAACTATTTCTATTTAATTAAAAATTTTTTAATTACCGAATTTTTGGATTTTTTATTTTTAAAATGATTTTACTTAGTGCACTGCCCTTTTATTTAAATAGACTATTTTTAATTAAAAGGGCATTCACATGAAAATAAATTTTTTTAAAAGTAATTTCCTGTTAATTTCATAACATTAACTAAATTCACCGCCAATCCTCTTTCCTGTGTTTTAGGAGCCCCATAGTTTTTATAAATCAAAATTGGGTAAGTAAAGAAAAGTTTATTTTTAAATTTACACATTGCCCTATTGTATATTTTTGAATTTTTAAAATTTATTTTCACACAAATATCATTTCTAATTTCATAACATGTTTATTGATCAAATACTTTCTATCTTTCCGTTTTAATAAATTATTACTGAATCGCAAGTGAAATAACACCAGTTAAAAATAAAATCATAACTTTTGAAAAATCAGAACTTGTAAATTGAAACTGTAAACTGTAAATTCTGATTCTATAAAAATAGAATCAGAATTGTAAAAAAGAAAAATAAAATCAGAAAAAATGTTTAATTTTATCAGATGTTGTTAGCATGCTTAGCACTAGTTTTGTTGTTGTAAGTTGAAGTACTTGGTAATCATTGTTAATTTTATTCTTTTTTGTTCTTCCTATTCTCGCTAACCTGTTTAACTTTTTAAAAATATGTTTTTAGAACTCAAAAACAATTTAAATTTTTAATAAAAAATAAAAAATTTTTTATTAAACATTTAACAATCAATTTAATAAGTCCATTAGACATAGTATATGTATATTTATTAAATAAATGCTTTCGAAAGTCAAAAAGGGCAACTCTCCACTCAGACTCCCTCTGTTTATTCACTTTAATTGCTTTAAAAATTAATGAAATTTATTAAAGTTTATTTAATTAACTTTAATAATTTAAAATTTTAGACAAAAATGTATTTAATTATTAAATTATTTTTAATTTTTCTTTTGAAAATTTTATTTTTCTGCGAAGCAAAATTGTTGAAAGAACAAATTACTTGTGTAAATGATTATCTTTTGCTTTCTAAAAACCTCGAAACAGAAATTTATGCCGAGAAAATAGGGAATAAATGGAAAGTTGAGCGAGGAATTAACAAAACCGTTTTTAACGATTTTGAAGAAGACTTTGACATAATAAAAGAAGATATGTCAAATTTTATTGGAGAGGAATATGCAAATAATTGTTTTGAATTAAACAAAGAATTGGTTGAAAAATACAATGAAAAATTATTTAATAAATTAAAAAGTATATTATTAATGAGAAAAGATGGTGTTTTTAGTTACAAGGATTATTTAAATAAATTTACTAAAAAAGCTAATTTTATTTTATCGAAAAATATTCAGAAGGAATTAGGTAAGTAAATAAAGATAAGAATAATTTAAAATATGAATAATTTTTTTAAAACAAGGGATGCTTTGTTTAATTTGTAAAATTAATTAAATATTTTATAGGGTTGGAATAAGACCCAGTCAAGCAAGCACTTTAAATTTTTTTTAATTTTGAAAAAATTTTTATCTTCAATACTACTACTAGGTCGTTTCATAAAATTTTCATCTTTATTTGTTTTTATTAATTGACAAATTTTATTTTTTAAATATTTCTCAAAATTTTTAATTTGTAATTTACAGACATTTTTTACATATTTTTTAATCACATCAAGTGTAATTTTTACCTTGTGATTTACTCAATAAATAAAATAAAAAAATAAAAATATCGTTTTTATCAAAAATAAAATTATTATGAAACGACCATTAGTTTATGGGATTGTTATTTTTGTTGTTCTATTGTTTTTTCAATGGTTTAATTACCAAAATTTAGTTATTATGGGTTTAATGTCAATTCTAAAAAATTTTTTATTTCTTTATTCATAAATTCACCATCTCAAGACACTTATCAGGGCTCTCCCCCAAGAAAGGTTAAAACATTTTTGGAAGAACAACCCGGATCTACAACAAGTTTAACGAAGCTCCTCTCTAAATACTAATTGCTGGTATAAATCTTTGTTTATTTTTAAGACGGAGTATCATTTTGCCTGGCTGATAAAATATATGAATTACATAATAAAGCTGGAATAGATAATTTATTTACAATTTTATCTCAACCAAAAAATATAAATAATGTCAAAAATGCTATTTTAGATAAATATAAAATAAATTTTATAAATAAATTTTATATAATAGAACTGAATTGGGAAATGGTAGATATTGATATTCTTAAAATAAATATTGGAGAATTAATAAAATGCTCGGAATTTATTAAACAAGGAAGGTAAATGGACATTAGATTAAATAGAGAGTTGGATTTCGTTTATGTGTAGACTTGGTGCAAGGGTGACCGGAATAAAAAATTTTTTTATTTCAAATCGAAACGAAATAGAATATTTCTGACTGGCACCAAAATTTGATTTTCAACCAAGTGAAAGGCACTAGTAATGTGTTACAAAAAATCGGCGTTTTTTCGCTATGATGACAATTGTAGAGACAATTGCTGATTTTATGTAACCACAAAATCTACGCTCAGCTTTTACTGATTATGCGTTTTACCGTTAAAAGTAAATACCAGAATAAACCTATTTTTTAGAGTTTCTGAGAAATTCCTTGCAATGATTGATGGAAGCCAGCTATATTTTGATAAATTTCCTGATAAAGGTATATACCTATCTATTAAATTATAATTCGAATGGTTACAATTATGGTTGTAGTTTAAAAAAGGCATTCTTTTTTAGGATTGTTTTTATTTTTTGTAAACGCGTAAAGCTAAAACAGCAGGTAAGAATTTATTAGGGGGATTAACAAAATTAATTTTTAAAAACTATTTCTTAGTTTTTCGAGATTTTTCTGACCCATTTTTGGGCCTCATTTTTATCGAATCGTGTCCTACGAGTCACTATGCTCGACTCGATCTTTCAGTCTGAGTCGGTCCATTTTTGCGCTCTAGTTACCACTATTAATACAGCAATATTTTTAAAAAATTTTAAAGTTTCAACATTTACGGATATTGAAATAAATGAAGAATTTAAAGAAAAAAATAAGGATAAAGAGTGTTTTTGTTTGGATGATTTAATAGAATTAGAAAATGAAAAATATAGAGGAATTCAGCAAATAACTGATTGCAACGTTCGTTTAAAGTAGAGTACGTCGAGTACCGAGTAATTAAAAATCTGAGCTCGAGTAATGCCGAGTCTAAAGTTTGATTACGAGTATGTGTTCAATTTTTTAGGCCGAGTTTGATTACGAGTATGTAAATCGAGTAACTAGAGTAATTTTATATAACAGTATCTTAAAATTGTAATTTTAAATAAAACACTACTTTGATTAAAAATGGCAACCGTATAGTTAACCCTAAGACAGTTCACAACATGGGGTAATTCGCAATAAGATTTTTAGAGCGGCAGGCGAAAATTTTGAGAATTTTGGCCGTTTTAATTTGAATAAACAAATCTACAAATTACAACATCGTTTGACTCTTTTCTAAATTGTTTCCAAATAACAGACATTATATAAATATAAAATTTTAACGACAGCCCATCCCGATAGGAGCATAAAAATACTCGATTTAAACCTAGTCTGTCGAGTAAGAAGTTTCCGAGCTCGAGTAATCCGAGTATTAGAATCCCGAGTTACGAGGCCGAGTAATGACTAAAAATCTTTTAGAATTTTTAATTTATTTTTAGCATAACTTTCATAAAGAATGTCTCCAAGAATGGTAATTTTTTTAACTATTTTAATAACTAGAGAGCGTCATTTTAGGTCCGAAATTTGATGTCCGAAAAATTGCCCTCTCCCAATTAATTACTCCCTCCCTTTTAATTACCCCCTTCAGAGATAGATTGAAAAAATAATTACCCTGGGTAATTATTTTAGCATTTAGAATACCTAAAATGACACACTAGTAATAACAAAAA